TTCTCGGGGGAGCTTTTACTTGGAACGGAGCCACAATATAGCAAAGATTTGATCGTATCCTATTTAACAACTCTTGGATCAATGATTATCCCTTGTCTCATATGTAACATCTAAGTAGAAAACTGTATGGCCATTCTGTTTTGTTACTTGATATTAATTTACATAACCCTTCTATGCAGTCTACTATTACATTCCAAAATATATGGCTTCTCGATAGTTCATTTTTTAAGATTATTGAAAACAATTGGAATGCTCCTATTTTTTCTAATAATAACATATGTGATATGAATAGACTATGGTCTAAACTGCACAGTTTGAAACAGAAATTGAGATGCTAAAATAAATGCATCTTTAAAATATTTTCTCTAATGTTAGAGAGGCTGAAAATACTATTAATATTTTGGAAGCTATTTATATGAATGAACCTACTAGCGTGAATTTGTCACATCTCAATAAAGCTAAAAGTGATTTTATCAATTGTAGGAAAAAGAAGATATTTTTTGGAGGCAGAAAGTGACCTCTAAATTTCTATTGGAGAGTGATAAGAACACTAACTTTTTTTCATGATATTACTAATAAAAAAAGAGTTTTGAATCACATTCACAAAATTACTACTCCTGAGCTGGTATGTCTCTTGCTACTGATGATTTGATTACTTCCTAAGGGGTTGAGTATTTTGAAAGCATTTTTAATAATAATGTTATGCCTGACCCCATTACTAATCATCATATTATTTTTTAATTAATTAATGATGATGATGATAGCTTTCTTGTTTAGTTCCCTTCTAAAAAAGAGATATTTGATACCATTAGAGGTTGACTCTATTGTTGGTCCCAATTGTTTCACTACCAAGTTCATTTATAAAGCTTGGGAAATTATCAAAATGGATGTTAATGATATGATAAGAGATTTTTTTATGGGTCCCCTTATCCTAAGTTTTTTTCTTCTTCAAGCTGTGTTTTAATTTCTAAAGAAAAGATTTCTAACAATTGGGTGAATTTGAGACTTATAAGTCTTTATTATTTTTTTAATAAGATTATTTCTAAGATCCTTATGGGGAGATTAGCTCTATTGCTTCCTAAAAATTTTTCTCCTAAGAAAATTAGTTTTGTTAAAGGTTGTGGCATTTTGATAATGTGGTTATTGCTCAAGAAATTATTCATGATATTAATGCTCGAAATCCCCTTATTTAGGATTTAGTTCTGGATAATCTGAGCTTTAGAATGCATTTTTATGTTTTAATATAAATTAATCAATAGGTTTTGCTTATTAAATGTTGATAAATCTAATTTATTTTTAATTAATACTTCCATTTTTTATTTTTTATTTTTACTTTATTATACACATTATGATACATAAAAATCAAGGGAGATTTCTAGGTTGGATGATAAATCAGCACTACAAAACTCCTAAGTTTAGCACTAACGAGTGAAATCCTAATAACTATCTAGTGATTGGGTTTAGAAATTTAAATACAGAGTTTTCTACAATGTCCTATGGTTTAGGATACCATATTCACATGCAAGGTTCAATAGACCCAGGGAAGCTCTAAGTTTTATAGAATTTAACTCACTAGAGCTAATCAACGATGCAAGCCGGCCGTAACACTTCTAATTGTATACCGAGAAATGTCTTTTCTGGCCTTTTTAAGTAGTCCTCTACTGCTTTGGGCTCAACAGTACCCTCGAATCTTGGAGAATTCAATCTCAAAAATATCTGTAGGTATTTATTTACCTCTTCAAATTTAATAACATGAACCCTGCTCTGTGCCTCACCCATCATCTGGGCTATAAAAGTAGCAAACTATGAATTTGTATCTGAAATAACTTTTGGAGTAGAACAAAATGTAGGAATTGCCTAACTAGCTTCCAAATAAGAGCATTAACCATTAGTATCTTTCAAATACCTTTGAGTTTTCTTAGAATAAGGAGTGGGAAGAGGAGATTTTTTTTTTCTTGTCCACTTTAGTAAACCCTTCATCATCATTCATGTTAACACCACTAACATCAGGAGAAAACACTCAGGAAGCAATGCTAGCATAAAATTCCTTATTTTTCAAGGCAACTAAGATATTTTTGGAATTAGGTATGATTTCCCCTCTTCACAAGCATCCTCTCTCATCAACTGAGATACATCAAAAGCATAATCATTCAATTCCTTTTGAGTTCTTTTATTAATTAAAGGAGAAGGATTGATCGGAGAAAAATGTTCATGTATGGGATTATTTTGTGTAATAGAGATAATAGAAACAATAAGCACATGTTCCTCCACATCATCAATAATATCATCCAGATTTTCAACATTAGACAGCTCCTTTTGATTAATATTATTATCCACGCCATTAGGATCATTCACATTAGCCTGAGATAACACATTGAGCTCCTCCTCCTCCCTAAGTTCATCACTGGAACCACTGGAACCACATTTGGAAATGCATCAACGTTCTCACAAGTCATTTGTACCTTGGTTTTGGGTCCATCATCCACAACAAAAGAAGGCGGGGTTTTTTAAAGGCCGGATGTAACACAAAACACTTGGTTAAAGCATTACCATGCATCTTACGATGTTTACAAAAATTTGCGAGTTTCTTAAAATCCACTTTCTGCATGTAACCTAGCAATTTAGAGCCTACCCAAATTTCTTTGGGAAGCTTTTTCATGATGCCCACTTCAACAAGAATCTTAGTCACATAAGGCCAAATCCTAGAAGCTGTCACATGATCCGTTTGAAGCGGCCTAAAAAAATGGAACCGAGGGCATATAAAACACGATTGTTGAAAAAAATGCAAACATAAGTTTAGAAATGAAATTCAGATAAGTACGATAGGTGATTCTTCTTTAATATCAAAAAACAATGTCCATTTCAGAAGACACATATGACAGCTATTGATATACTAAGATCACCTTGTCAAAACGTTTATATAATCCAAATTATTAGTTAGTTGGATGGCTATATGATGACCATCTAATAAGCCCACAAAAAAAAGCACCATAAAGCTTAAGATTTTCAAAAACATTTACGATTAGAGTCTAGATTAGGTCTACGCTTGAAAAACTTCCCAACCTCAGTGAATTGGAAAGGGGGAGCAAATTTCATAACATCTTTAACAAAAAATAAAATAGTCATCACTCCTTTAAAGATTGATGGAGTAAAAGAAAACCCGAGATCAATCGAAGAAGAACTACCAGAAATCACATCTTTAAAGGAACGAGTAGATCGAAGAAGGTTGGCTAAAAATATAAAATATAAAATAAAATTTTGAAGAATCATAATTATTTTAAAATAAGAAAACTCAATTCCTCAAAATTTAAAAATAGAAAATACTCTTTAAAATTTATCTTAAGAAAAAAAATATTAATCAAAAGTCCACTCAATTGACTTTAAATGTTTATGAGATCATCATGGGACTAGTTCCAACTCCGTTAATAAATTTCATCAAATTTGGTGCTAATTAAGTTGAAAAATAAAAATTTTGATTAATTATAGTATTTTGGTGAACAATTTAAATGTTTACAGTATTTTTCATACTCATATATATCATTACCTGAAAATGCTTTTTTTTTTTTTTTTGTAATAAACTGATCTCCGACTCACAAC